ATTACTGCTTCTCTTCCTCTTCTTAACTTCATCGATTGTCTCATTTTCTATTATTGCGCTGCCCATCTGTCTTCCTCTCACAAAAATGTCAGAATACATAAATTCACTCTTAAAGTATAACGGCATAAACGAATCCATTTGAATAAAAAATAATGATAAATTTATTTATAAATTTTTTTATCTAAATAAATCATTTCAAATTTAACATATAATGTCATTTGACGTTAGTAATTTATTAATTTGACATTATTTAATATTAACAATCTATTATTAGTGACATTATAAATTAACAAATTACTTAATAACATATTATTAACATTAAATAACGTCACACATTAAATTTAAAATGATTTATAAAAATTAAAAATTTGAAAAATAAATTTATTTTTATTTTTTATTTAAAAATAGATACGTCCCTATCACCCTACTTTAAGATGAATTTCGTTATTTTAGCTACAAAAATCACAAGAAAAAGGAGAGAAGACTCTTCAGAACCAGATGAAATAGAAAGAACAAGATGGGGGGCCTACCTTTAGATTTTGTTGAATAGTTTGAAAAGTAAAAGTGTTATAGCTGGAAAAAGTAAGGAAACAAAAAGATTTATATACATGTCTACCCTCTAGTGATAAATAATTATGGAAAGTTAAAATTATGTACACGTGAGCTTTAAGTTTAGATTTTCTCCCTTTATATATTATCATTTCTCCCTTTATATATTATCATTTAGGTGGGCACTCGGGGCTTTGAACTGTCAAAAGAAATTTATTTTTTAATTAATTTTGAATTTTTTTAAATTAATTTTTTTTAATTAGAAAGATATATCTAAATTTTTGACACAATTTTTTATAACAAAACACATCTTTTTGAAATATTTTTTTAGAGAGATATTCATTTGACAAGTGTTTTTCTATTGAGATATACCCTTCAGTTGATTTTTGTTGATTTTTATTCGGATAATATAAATTTCTTTAATAAAATTAATGTTCCACACTTAATTTTAAAAAAGTTTTTAAATTAGAAGATTTTTGAATTATGAAATCATGCCTTAAGCCTTTTTTATTCTTTTGTTTTTTGTTAATATTTTCCTAACACATTTGACCTTGCAGGTAAGAACTAGTAAGGTCTCTTATGGCGTTAGGTATCGATGGTAGCCACCAGCCAAAGAGAAGACTCCGAGAGCATTGGCTTTGAAGAATAATTATCTGTTCCTCTCTTGAACTTTTTTAGTTTGCCTTCTGCATAGACTTTCTTTTTAGATAGTTTTCATTATGCTATATGATAAGTAGATTTTCTATTTCAAGAGGGTGCTTATTTTTTTAAGTCTAGTATAAGAACTTACTTCGTAGCCGGAGTGGCGCCCCTAGGGTGGGAGTATAGTTCCTATTTTTGGGTTGAACTAGGATAGAGTTTGCTACTGTATTACAAGGTTGGCCTTTTGTAAGGCTCCCGAGCCACATCAATGTTTCTCCGAATGAGTTACTGATCATAACTATCGAAAAACGAAAAACAAAAAACAAAACTGTACATGGAATTTTTTGAGAAATTATCAGTGGAATGATTAATTTGCTCCATGAATTAATAAGGTGGGAAGAATCTCTTTCCTGCCAACGAAACACTTGGGCTAATAGCCAGGTCCATTTTGTGTCATTTAAAACTTGATTTAATCACCACATTAAGTTGTTTTCTTAATGGAGCAATAGCTGCCCCTGCATAGTTGATAAGATTCCAGCAGTGGCTGGCCTCATCACCGTACAGGGCCAGCTGCGCCTGTACAACGGACCATTTACATATCTCAAATTAATTGTTCATTGTCTTTATTTTGTATTTTGTTTTATTTATAGGAGTGCTATCCAGTTAGTTCAGCATACGTTAAAACAAATTTTTTTTAGCAATTTTAAATGAGCACTTCCTATATTAATCTAGTATATTTAAATAAAATAATTTTCTTAATTGTTCATCCTAAAACTATCTTAATTGTTCATCTTAAAAGTATCTTTATTTGTTCTCATTTCCCTTGTCAAAAAGGAATAAAATTCAAAATAAAGAGAATACTAAGAAAAAGTAAGAAAAGCCAAAAGAGATAAGGATTGGATGGCCCTGTTTGTTACAGTTGAAACGACATGGTAGAATTTGCGGTCTCCCTTGGAAAGGAATAGAATGATGGTTTCTTTTTATCGGCCATTAGAGACAACGTGTGAATGGGTCCAGAAAGATTGTCTCTTAGGAAAAAGCTAGAAACAAGAATATGACTTCCAGCACGTGATTAAAATGTTATTCCCTCTTCTAATTTGCGAGGAGATATTTTTAACAAATGAAAACCATTTGGATAAAGTTTTAATTAGTTAAAAAACTAATATTTTAAATTAGAGATTTAAAATTTGAATCTTAAGTTCAATAAGTAGGGATTTGAAAAAAAAAATCTTTTTATAGAATTCATTATCAATGTACTAAAAATAAAAATAAATAAATAAATAAATTCTAAAATACATTGCACAAGAGAGGAGAGTGACCATTTTTAAAAGGTAAAAAAACCAAATTTAGTCTCTATTTTTCTATTTTGAATAACTTTAGTCCATAAACTATTTTTTACCCTTTTCCTGTTCCTCAAATATGTAAATGCACCTTCTTTTTCCCTTCTATCGGTTTTGTTTGTTGAGTTTGTCTAGCTAACTTTTTTCAATTTTCTTTAATGATCTAAATGTGCATAAAACAAAATTCAAAGACTAAAAATATGGAATAAATATTAGTTTAGAAATAAAAAATGTGTATAAAACAAAAGTTTAGGGACTAAAGAATGTCAAAACAATAATGATGGAAGAACAAAAAGTGCATTTTTTATAGTTAAAAGATGAAAAAAGTGTAAAAAATAATTTAAAGACTAAAGTGTTTTAAATATATAGATTCAAAACTAATGAAATATAGAAAAAAAGTGCAAAAAAAAATTTAAGAACTAAAATTGTTATATGTGAAAAAGTGAGACCAAGTGAAGGAAAAGAATAGATGGCATAAGGTCACATGCATTAGCCATTAGTGATGCACTGATTTGCATCTTTCAAGGGATTTAAGGACTAATTTGCATCATTCGAGGGTTTCAGGGCTTATACATTAATTTAAGATAAATATAGGGGACTAAGAAGGTTTTGCCTTCATTCTTCCCACTTTTCATGCATCAACAGTTCAACACAACCTAAATATAGTAAATCAAAGTAAGGATGGTAGGCTAAAAATCCCCTCCATGTTGCTGCGCTGCACCTACAGGTTTAGCACATTATACCTACAGAGACCATTTCTTCTTCTTCTTCTTCTTCTTCTTTTTTTTTTTTTTTTTTTTTTTTTAAGCAATGGAAATGTGGGAAGGATACAAAGAGGAAACTAAGAGGGTTCAGTTTAATTTCCAAATATAAGAAAGTAGATTTTCAAGAATACCCCTAATCTCTACCCTCTTTCAGTCTTCACACAGCATAATTCAGTTCAATAAAAGAATTTCAAGGGCATTTTCATCAATTCCCTAGTCATGACTTACGAATTTATATTTAGACTCTCTCCTTCCAAGACACACCGAATCATACAGAATTTCAGCCATGAGCAACTTTTCCACTATCATTGAGAGATGGTGGCTGGTCACCTTTGTAAGCTTCATGGTAATTCTCTTTGTCTTCCTCAATAACGGCCCCAGCAGCACCAACACTTCAGTTCTTCAGAACCTACCGAGACCATTAACAACTTCAATTGACTTTCCCAATACGGTGAACGTGCAATATCCCAACCCTCAAAACTTCAACCCCAACAGCGAACAAGCCACTTCTCGCTTTCCTATGTCCAATTTACCATCTTGCATTCCTTTGAATTTTACCAGCACTAATGTGGAACCGGAAAAATCCTCTCAGGTTACCATGTCAGAGTTGAAAATTCCAGAAGCAGAGAAATCTTCTACTCAGGTTCCGCAGTGGCAGAATCCAAAGCCATCATACCTCATTGGAAATGTTGAACAAGAAAAATCTGCTCAACAGTTTCCTGTTTCCAACTCAGAAACTTCAAGGTTAAATGTCCAGGCTCCGCAGTGGCAGAATTCAAAGCCATCATACTCCAGTACTGGAAATGTTGAACCTGAAAAATCTGCTCAACAGGTTCCTGTTTCCAACTGGGAAAATTCAAGGTCATTAACCTTAAATAATCAGATTCCGAGAACGGAATTGCAGAATTCAGAACCATCAAGATTAAATGTTCAGGTTCCGAAGACGAAATTGCAGAATTCAGAACCATCAATCGAGAGTGATAACGTCGAGGAAGAAATTGCAATGGAGGAAAACAAATGTGATATCTTTGATGGAAAATGGGTGTATGATCCTCAGACAAGTCCTATGTACGACCCTACAATATGTGATTCTTTTCTTAGCGACACTGTGAACTGCCGGAGGCATGGGCGGTCAGACAGAGAGTATGAAAAATGGAGATGGGAAGCTAAAGATTGTAAGATTCCAAGGTAATCTTTTCACTTTTCAATTTTATTTTGTGGAAAACATAGGTGTACGGGTTTTTTAGCCTAACTAATTCCACGGGTATTGCAAACTGTCTAAGCCGCAAGGACTGAGCAAAACTCCATCTTCAATTTTCATATATTTTTCGTGAATGGATGGTTCTCTAGCTGAAGCAGTGCTGATTCTGACTGAGAATTAATTCTCTATCTGTTCAAGGTTAAATGCCCACGATATGCTGGAGAGACTAAGAGGGAAGCGAGTTATACTGGTGGGAGATTCAATCAACCATAGCCAATGGGAATCTCTTGCTTGCCTTCTTTACTCTACTATTCCTAATCAATCCAGTGTTACAAGACCAGGATGGACCTTTAAGTCAGAGGTAAAATACGGCGTGGCGACTTGGTTAAGTAGATTTTATTTTATTTATTTTTTAAATTTTATGCATTTGGGGTCAGTCTATGTGTATCAGACCACATTCACTTAATTTGTTTGTACTGAGATGATAGCTTTATTTTTATAACTATAAAATTAAGATCTAATGTGTTGTTGCAGGCATATGACCTCAGCGTTGAGTTCCATTGGTCCAATTTCTTGGTGGAATTAGAAGTGAACCGAACAACAGGAAAAAGTATTTTGAAACTTGACAGAGTTAGCCCTGGTGCTCGCAAATGGGTTGGTGCGGATATTATGGTGTTCAACACAGGCCACTGGTGGGCGAACCGGAAAAGGTAACGTAATACGTACCAATTAACACAGCTAGATAAATAGAACAGGAGTTAGTTTACTGCTTGAGTCTCTATGTTATTGTTAGCAACGAGAGGGGCCAGGGGTCTTCAAAGAACACAAGCCTCCCTAAATTTTTAATATGTTGGTAATTAGCTCTTCACTTTTTGGTTAAATTTATTTTGATCCCACTTTTTTTGTTTTCAATTCTTAACTTTTATTTTTATATATTTTTGTTCTTAAATCTTTTATTTCATATTATTTTAGTCATTTTCTTTTTTCTTTTCTTTTTGTTTTTCATTTAATACTACTTTTGTAATGTTGAGAAAGACAAGAAAAAAAAAAAAGAAAAAAGAAAAAAGAAAAATAAAGAAAATAAAAATTAATTGAATGATAAGTTATAAATTGTTACCATAATTGTTTTTTATTTCAACAGTTGTTGTTTGAATTATAGTTTGGCTTGTGCTTTTAGTCATTTCTAGGTTGGAATTAGAAATACAAAGATATCATTTAAGAAATGCTTATGATTAAGAGAAAAAAATAATAGTAATTTCAACCTTATTAGGAAAACATTGCTAAATTTTGAAATTTTAATTTTGCCCCCCTCACAATAATTTTTTACTATGCCACTGCATGTTAGAGGTTTTAACTTAGAGTTTGGAGATGGGTAAAATAAAATTTAGAAATGATCTATTATGTATAAAATAAGGATTGAGATACATAAAGGAAAATAGTCCGTAACTTTTGAATATCTTTCCATATAGGCTTGCAACCCAAAACCAAATAATAATGAATAGTCAATATTGTATTAATGAATGTGGGCAAACATTGCAGATGGGACTGGTTTCAGTACAAGAGGAAAGTGTTCGAGGATATGAAGCTGGAAACAGCATTCAGAGTGGCAATGAAGACTTGGGCACGGTGGATCGAGAAGAACGTGGACACAAGCAAAACTAGAGTGTTTTTCCGTGGATTTTCGGCATCTCATTTTGGAAAGCACTGGTGTTATGGAGAAACAATGCCTATAATGGATGAGTCCTACAAGTTGACATTCGGGAAGTCGTTGAAGGAAATTGTGGAGAGGACAATTTCAGCCTTGAAAATTCCGGTTAAGTACTTGAACATCACCAAGCTGACTCAGTACCGGGTTGATGCTCATTCCTCGATTTATAAAACACCGAATGCAAAGCAACTGATAGCAAGCGGACGGGAGAAGCCACAGATGCTGGCGGATTGCAGCCACTGGTGTGTACCTGGTGTACCGGATACATGGAACCATCTGCTCTACGCTTCTATGGTCTTGGATAGCCGCCCAAGGCGCACCGCTTTGAATAAACTGATTTGATTAGTTTCATATTCTTACTTTGGAAAAAAAATAAAAAAACCGGGTATTTCCGTTCGGAAGAAGTAATTAATACTTGGGCAAGTACACCTCAAGATTTGAATTTCATTATTTTCTAATGAGTCGCTTTCAAATCACTAATATCTAAAATTGTTAGTTCCTCTTATAAGTAATTTTAAGTACATTTTTTTATAAACATAAAGGAGAATGAATGATTGAAAACAAAATAATTATGTATGAAAAATAAGGATAATGATACATACACATAAAATAGATGAAAAAATAAAACAAATAAAATAGCATAAAATTACGCCATTACTTTTAATTATTTTAAACTTTTAAAACAGAAAATCTCTAGCCATTCCCTCCCCTCAATCGAGTCTGCCAAATCTTTAACCAATCTCTCTCCTCAATCCAGTCTTCCAAGCAGTTAAGTATATCTTATTTTATTTATTTTAAATACTTTTTGAACCACTTTGCAAACTAAGGTCCTCAATGAAATTTAGAATCATTAGAAATACATTTAAGATTTAATTTAAGATCAAATGGTTAAGATCAATCACGTGGAACTATTAGAGTTGGTTCAAGTAATTAAAAAATTATTTAAATTATTGTAGGACAATTGAAGTAAAATCTTAAAAAGTAAATGGTAAAGGACAAAAAAGAAATAAAAAAAATGCTTTAAACTATTGTTTGGTTAGAGATAACAATCAGGATGGATGGTGTTAGCAGGTTGTAACTAATGGCATTAGTATAAAGATGGCATTGAAAATTTTTTTCTCGAGTAAAAAGGACAACATTGAACCAAAACTTGAAGTAGAAGGATGACATTGAACAATTCCTTTATACAATAATTTCAAGAATGAACAAAGTACTGCAATAAAGGGACGTTCATTGGTTTTAACCCTAGATTTTCTAATCTAGCTCTGAATGGCACCGGAGCCCTAAGCAAAGTTGGATAAGGGTGCAGCTACCAGGTATACTGCTGGGTTAAAATCTCATTCCACCTTCTCCCAAATTATAATGTTTTCAGAAAAAGAAAAAAAAAAATCTAGCTCTTAATATGATTCTTAATAAACCTTTTTAGGTTGAAAGTAATGAAATTCATTGATGGTAAAAGAAGATATTATATCAATAGGTTAAAAAATTCAGAATTACTTGTCAATTAAAATGCTATAAATAATAATAAAAAGATTACAATACTCTTGATTAATCAATATGTAAGAAAGATTCATTAAAGATATTTAAATAATTTTATTGGGAGTATTAACATTTAATTCTAAAATGCTAGGACATCTTGATTTTCATTTTTCTCTTATACCAATATAATCCTGATGAAATTAAACCCATAGCAATAGTAACAAATGATTTTACCTTTGACATATATAGTTAATTAAGCACAAAAAGGTATTAATTACCAAAAATTACCTAGAAAAAACTATGACAATCGCTATAGCAGAGCAAATAAATATGAAAGGACCACTCTATTGTGCATATAAATATGAAAGGACCACTCTATTGTGCATTCGAAGCATATATGAGAAGTCCATTATAATATATACTCCAGTTTTTGGTCTAGAAAGATTAGCTGGGGACCCTGTACCCCAACCATGTTATTGACAGCTAAGGCAAGTGCTGCATCCAGTTGAATCAAGTACCACTACGCTGTCTTCAATTTCTACCAGAGGCAAAATCTAATGAAAATTATCACGAGAGCCTAGACAACAACTCCTAAAAGATGGTGACAAAGCGTCAATAGGAAAGAAATTCGAGAGAGAGAGAGAGAGAACTCTACCATAATGTTGAGGGGACTAGAGAAGATGACTAGGGTGAGGAAGAAAATATTAATAAATGAATTCATTAGACAGACCCACTATGAAACTACATGCACATGTTATTAGTGGATTCCCATCTATGACTCAAGAGTAAATAACCTTTTGACTTGAGATTCTCGTGTCTTATGTGAGAACTCGAATTTTATGATATTGTTAAAAAATAGTCACTACAAGTGATTGCAAATAATATAATTATTGGATGCATCATAAATCATATGATGATAGAAGCAAATCAAGATAGGATTTATCACTCCTTAGTTAACGAGAGAAGATATCTTTAGGCTCTTTAATTAAGATAAGACTATTTTAAGTCTGTAGCCACAATGGGAATGAAGGAGTTCATTCATTGAGTTATTTTATATAACTTACTACCAATGAGATTGAAATCTAGAGGGTCACACATAACAGTGCACTAAATGGAATTGGAATTGGAATTCATGGAATTTTTGGTTCATGGAAAAGGATTAATTTATATGCAAATAATATTTTCACAAAAGAAATAAATTAATTAAGTTTTTTTTTTTTTTTTTGATCTTAGATGCATAATGGGAAGCAACCATATTTTATTTCTTATCTCACCTCATCCGCATGTCTTGCGACTCGAACTCAGAATCTATTACTTCCAACGGAAGGAGATAACCATTGAACTACTTAAGTCGTTGGCATAAATTAATTAAGTTTTAGACTTTATTTGGTAGAAAGGTTAAATTAATTATTTAATCTAAGTTGATTTAAGTTTAAATTTGTTTAAAATTAAAGACAAAAAAAAATTTAAAATTATCGATTAAGAGCAAGTGTGCCTTGTGGCTGAACCCTAGCCCACGTAGGATTAGGGTTGTGCAACAACAAAGGCGAAGAAGCCCTAGCTGCCACTTCTAGCTCAACATGAACTAGGTGTGCAACAAAAAGAGAGGACAAAAAAGAAAGGAAAGTCTTGCCCTTTCAAAATTTTCGCTCTAATTTGGAGGGTAAGTATAATTTATTATATATTTTCAGAAAAAAAATGTATTATTTGTTATAAATTAAATGTCAATTTCAGTTTTTAAATTTTTAATTTTGAACAATTTTAGTCATTAGATTATTTTATATTTTTTAATTCTTCAATTAGTTAATTTATTAAATCTGTTTATATATACACATTTTTAGTTTTTGAATTAATCATTGAACTTATAGATTTAAAAATTAAACATGTACATATTTGAATAGAATTAACAAATTAATTGATAAAAAAAACTAAAAAAGTGTGCTTCATAATTTAGTAAAAAAAGTGTAAAAAATATTTTAGAACTAAAATTGGCATTTGATCTTTAATATAATTCCAATTGTATAAGAATTACTCTGGTCTTTTTTATAATCTATTAGTATAAATAGAAGTAGAAAATATATTTCTTTTCTTAACCTCAAAACTAGCACCAGAGGATTTTAGTTTTCTCTTAATTTTCTTTAGTGTACATGTGAATTATTACTGGAGGAGTTTTATTTGGGATTTAAGTTTAGTTAAAATAGTGGATTTAGGGCACCCCAACGGGATACTAACGCACTTCATTGAGATTTGTTTTGTCATCCTTCTTTAACCATCTTCAAATTCAAAAGAATCCTAAATAAGTTGGAAGGTAAAAATTTTTAAATTTTTACTTCTACTATGTCCACTAAAACCCAACAATTACAGCAAGCGGTCGAGGATATGCGTAAGGGAAAGCATTGGAATCCTATCCTAGCAGGTGAAATGGATTGTCGATACGGAGAAATTTCCATTTCAATACATGTGTGATTGTGAAATTTCATAAAAACGGTACTCGTAAAGCTAGCTAATAGCGACAACACAGAAATTAATGGTGAGGCTTGAGTGGTGTGTGTTGATTGTTGCCATGGTTTATCTCCACCT